AGTCAAGTCTTAAGTGCTATTGTTGCAAGAAGATCTTTCATGAAAGACTTGTTTGTGTGTTAAAGCTTTTGTTTAATTTAGTAGATTCATGTATAGGATGTGGTTTATCTTTGATTCTATGTATTGTTCGACTTAGGTTGCATTAAAATTTGTTTGAATTAGAAAATGATATCGAAGCCAATCCTAATGGAAGTTGTGGGCCTATTAAACTCATTATCGGAACCACCCATAAATACTATTAGCACACTTGAAATGCCAAGTTCCTCAACAGGGGTGTGTGTGGTTAGAGATCTCCAATGGATTAGAGATATGATCAAATTATAATATAATACAACCTTACAAGTGGGTTTGGGAAGGGCTGAATTAGGCCTAAATTCACTTTACAAGAACTGTAGTTACCCGGATTGGAATGATTTCCGTCTATGTAATTCTAGTGCTCTATCTAGTTTATGGAAAGTAAAATATACAAAGCATTTTCCCGAGGGAGAGAAAGAGTTGTAGAGAAGAGAGAAGGGGAAAAATAAAGAAAGAACACTTTCGTTATATTGATTTACCAAATCTCACACAGAATAAAAGATAGTACCATCCTCCTAAGGACTTCCCTCCAACAAAAATTTTCCCCTCTTGCAACCAACTTACTCCTCCAATTACAAACTAACCAATTACCTTCTTCTCTTCTACCTCTCCAACTATGAAAGATAATTACCTACTTCTAACAATTTAAAGTGCCCAACAACCCCTTAGACGTGAATATTCTAAGTAACTCTCCAGAAACGTATCATGTCATCTCCTAAATGTTCAACATGTCCTCAGGAAAGGATGGAGATTCCCTAACCAATGCATCCATGATGTTTTTCATTAAATTGCTTTGCAACATAAATATTAGGCAATCTTGGACGTAACAAAAGGTTATGAACAATGGTACCAGACAGCAAGAAGTTACTAACAATGGTATCAATATTAACAAAACAACTAAAATCAACAAACTTGCACAATGATTATATTACTCAGAGATTTGCATTTGAATGATTACATATACAAGTTACATACTTTCAATATTGTTCATCAGTACCCATTCTTTGTGTTATCTTGTTTCCCTGACCAATGTCACGCGAAGCTCCACCTAGTATCAACAAACTAGTCTTGTTACAAATGTAGTTGATTGGAGAGAGTCCCGAGTAACAACATACAACTTTTACTGATAACAAGAAGCATTAGTAAGATCCCTTTAATTGTTGTATTTCCTTAAATAAAGATTGACAGACAGGTGGTGTCATCTAAATACAAGACAAGGGCTTCTCCGTTTTCAGTTTTTACGGAACCATGTAATAAGTTTCTAAAAACACCAAATAAGAAATAGTTAGGACAAAAATTCAAACCCTAAATGTACACCCTCTAAAGAAAACATTACTTGATAACATCTATTACTAGGTAGATCTCATTCGTGCTTTTGCACACTGTTAGTTGTTGTAGGAAGTTCAGTAAACTTGTTTGTAGCAAATTAGTGGAGAAATGGTTGCATTATCATTCGAAACAACTACCAGCCAATGTCTCATCAGTTTCTACAAATTGTATAGCTCAATTATAGAGAAAATAGCAGAATACTTAGATTCTCAAATCAAACTTTGTTGTTACTCCTTGATCACTCTCTTTCACTTTCTCACCTTGCAACCAAATCAAATCATAAGAATATTTGGGATTTTGTATAACATCTATAGTAAGGTCATGAAAAAAATATTAGTTTATCATTTAACAGTGTATCGAAGTAAGTTTGTCCATTACCACTTTGTTGGTTTTTCGATACAGTCCAAGTGAGTTTGTAAATAGCAAACAGCGTATATACACATGCATTTTAACATGTGGATTCAAGCCAGTAAATTTACAGATAAATAAATCAAGATGAGTCATAATATAGAATTTTTGGTACGAAAGATGAAAGAACAGAGAAGACAAGAAGAGGGGAAAAGGGAAGAACACAATATAGAGGATAGAGAGAAGAGGAGAGAAACAGAGGTAAAGGAAACTTTGCTCTGCACTTGACTATCATTTCAATCTATCTACATTCAGTCTAGATTCAGTTGTCTAGAATACAACAGTCTAACTTATTTACTGACAGCTACCAAATAGTATGAAAGAAAGTAGCTGCCAACTAAAATATTGTCTATTTGGCATTTACATATCAACTAAAAAAAAATAAAATATATGCTTTTATTATGGATAATATAACTTGTTAGGGTCCAGAAATCTTAACTCTAAAACAAGTTATTTTAACTATGATTAAATAAGTAATTGTTACCCATCTACACAACTAGTTTTCTATTCACTTGGGTTCACCACTTTTCTATATGTGAAGATAATAGAAAATTGTCAAATTACTGATGAAAATTTTCCTCTAATTCACCAGAATAAATGGAATAAAGCAAGTATAAAATTAAGGCATTACTAGATTTTCTCCCAAGGAGTGATTTGTGTGTGTCAAGAAAAATCTTAAAGAGAGTGCAGAAAAATGAGGAAAGCAGGTTTCCTGGACACAATGGCCAAAAAATTCCCATTAGTTACCTTTAGAAATATAACATAGTAATTCCTTCAAAAGACAAATAACATGATAGCATTCACTACACCAATACTATTTTCCTAATTTAAGGCATATTCAACATAGTACACTATTCCATTCCCAAGGACATATTTGAACAAGTTTCACCGTATGTCCTTCCTGGAGAGAAAAACAAAAAGAAAAAAAATGAAATTATGTTCTCCATAAGCTAAAATTAGCTCATGTACAAGTTAAAAATAATAATTAAAAGAAGCTAGAAAGTGCTTATACAAATTAGCTTATGCATTTTAGCTTATGTAAAAGTTCGTCCAAAAGTAAATAAAGATAAGCATGCTCATTAATAAAATTATGGAACAAGTATGCATTTAGGGGGGGTCAGTATGACACAAAAAAAGAGGAAAACTTAGGACAAACCTTGATTGTGGCTTTTCCTCTTCCTTCATGAGAGTGATCTACTTTAAGAACCTGAAGAGGTTTGCATTACAAAAGAAAGTGTGGGATAACAAGATTCAATGGAATAAATTGATTGAGTAGTAGTATTAAGTACCTCGTAAATGCGCCCTGGAAGCAAGCACGACCAACACAATAAGAATGCAAAATGAATCTGTTAGAAAGCATACATGTCGAATTGAAACCATAGTAAAATTCAATAACCGAAGAGCAAAGGAACCTTGTTTTCCAATGATATTTCCAACTCTAATCTGCACCGCAAAAGACAGTGAAGAAGCACCTATAAAATTTGACCAAAAGCCCAATAAAATAGTCAAATTTAAAAGATGCATACATCAGAGCCAGATACTTTGATTCCCCGACGTTGAGAGGAAGACCACGGAGATGTGAACAAGTTGGTTGCGGTTGAGGAAGCACGAGACGGTGCTGATAGTGAGAAAAAATTCAATGGTGTCCGAAAATAAGAATACAAATATGAAGAGAGCCTGATAAGAGATCTGTTGTCGGAATTGGAAAGCATCAGCCGCATTGTTTGCATTCTCTAACTGTTGTTGGGTCAATTTTATTTCGGAACAAGCTGAAGCTCTTTGTGTTACTTAAAAGCTAGATATACCTGGATTCACCAGTACATTTAACCAAAACATTAATACATGTCAGTTTTTCACTTCCAAAAGCCCCACACACATAGCAAAAATAAAGAACAGAGCAACACAAAAATCACCAAGGGTATACACAGAATAACCATTCCAGTTAAGGAATAAAAGGGTGAATAACACGCAGCTAAGTGATTTCTGCACAGATGAATTGGTTTGAGAAAGCGGCTTTGGCAGCGGCAAACAGAGGAGTGGATTTTTGGATCTCCGGAGTAGTATTACTGGCAGAAATTCCCAAATTCACACTGTCACGGATTATTGGAAAAAACCATATATTTAAAACTTTTTATAATGCAAAAATGTATTTTTTAAAAACTTTAAAATTTAAAGTTAGGAAAACAATGTTTAATTAATAACTAAATAACTTCAAATTGCATTACTTATAATCTTTTCCCATCCATCTTTCCATTTATTATGCTTTTGAAAATATGCATAGTCCTCACGTATAATACATTATACAATAATTATGGAGTAATATCCATTTACAAACACACAAACATAAACCGTAAGAAACTCATAAAACAATCAAATAAAGAAAAATAAAATATAAATCAACATATAAGTAAGTAATAACTAATTGCGTAAGTTTCTACATAAAACAACATCATAATGAATTTACCCGATCTCAACTTAGAGTTGGGGGTGTGTTTAGGGTTTAGGGGTTAGGATTTAGGGTGTAGGGTTAAGGAGTAAGGTTTAGGTTTGCTGTTTAGGTACAGACTTTAATGTTACAGTTTTGAGGTTTAGGGTTCAGGGTTTGTGATTCAAGTTAAGGGTTTAAGAGTTGGGGTTAAGTGTTTAGGTGATAGGCTTCAGGGGTTTACGATTATGGTGGCGGTTTAAGGTTCAGGTGTAGGATTTTTGGGTTTGGGGATTAGGATGTTGGTTAGGTGTTTAGGTGTAGGGTGTAGTGTTGAGGCTTAACGGTTGACTGGTTTTTTAAGATTTTTGGTGTACGTTTGAGGTTTTTTGGTTTGGGTTTAATGGTGTTTGGTTTAAGGCATTATTGAAGGTTAGGTTTACAGATTGAGGGTTAGGGTTTAAATTAGGTGTAGCGGTTCAAGGTGTAGGATTTAGGGTTTAAGGGTTTAGGATTTATGGGTTAGGGTTTATGGTGTGGTAGGGCGGTTAGGGTTCAGGGTCTAGGGTTCAGGGTGTATGGTTTAGGATTTAAGGTTAAGGGTTAAGGGTTTAAGGTTGAAGGTTTGAGTTTGATGGTTTAGTGGGCAAGGTGTAGGGTTTAGGGTTTAGGTTTTTCTGTTTGGGTTTAATGGTGTTTGGTTTAAGGGCATGGTTTAGGGTTTAGGGTTTATGGTTATGGGTTAAGGGTTTAAGGTTGATGGTTAAAGGTTTAGGGTGTAGGGTGTAGGATTTAGGATATAGGGTGTAGGATTTAGGGATTAAAGTTTAGGCTTTAAGGTTTAGGGTTTATGGCTTAGGGTTTATGGGTTGGGGTTTATTGTGTAGGGCTTATGGTTTAGGTTTTAGGGTTTAGGGTGTATGGTTCAGAGTGTATGGTTTAAGGTTAAGGGTTATGGGTTTAAGGTTGAGTGTTTGTGGTTGATGGTTAAGTGTTTAGGGTGTAGGGTTTAAGGTTTAGGTTTTAGGGGTTATGGTTTAGGGTTTAGAGTTTAGGCCTTAGGGTTTATGGTTTATGGTTTATTATTTAGGATTTAGGGTTTAGGGATTAGTGTTTAGGGTTTAGTGTTTATGGTGTAAGGCTTACGGTTTAGGGTGTGAGGTTAGGGTTTACGATTCACGGTTTAGGGTTCGGTGTGTATGGTTTAAGGTTCAAGGTGTAGGGATCAAGGTTACGATTTTGTGGTTGATGGTTAAATGTTTAGGGTGTATGGTTTAGGGTTAAGGTGTATTGTTTAGGTTTTAAGGTGTAGGGTTTAATGTATAGGGTTTTGGATTTAGGTTTTAGGTTTAAGGGTTTAGGTTTGAGGGTTTAATGTTTAGGTTTTAGGGTTTAAGGTTTAGGGTGTAAGGTTTAAGCTATAGGCTTTAGTGTGTAGAGTTTAGCGTTTAAGGTTTAGGGTTTATGGTTTATAGGTTAGTGTTTATGGTGGAGTGTGTAGGATGTAGGTGTAGGGTTGAGGGATTACGGTGTAGGGTTTAGGTTAAGGATGTAAGGTTTGAGGTTTAGGGTTCAGGGTTGTGATAACTTTTTGGTAAGTATACCAAATCGTTCAAGTAATACAGTGAAATAAGTAAAAGTATCATCTCCCAAAGGACTTGTGCAACACATGACAATTCTTCCTTTTATAACTCAATTAGACATCAAAATGCTCAAAATAACACAAGAAACTCTTTTTGGTATTTTATCAAATAGTTGGCGTGCAAGGAATTTATATTTAAAAGAAACTTCGTTGGAATTGAGTTTCATGAATCATATGAATATAAAACTTTGTTCAATATTTCATTATTTCATTCAAGCATTCACATCAAGGCATACTAGTCCTAATCCCTTGGCAACTAGTTCTAAATTAATATATCAAACTGCTAATTCCTTAGTGAATTTAACATACAATTTGCATTAAGTCTGATGCTAAGAATGATCAAGTTATTGAGTCTATCCCTAGATCCCAAATCACTTAAGTGCTCTATCTACGTTCGTTCATGTTCAAAGTTACTTTCCAGTAATCAAAGACATTCAAATAACATTATATTTCCATACAATGATAGTAAATTCAAGAAAGAGCATATGAATGAACAACGATATATTGAACAAGAAAATTACATCAGAGTGAGTTCATTACATCCAATTCCAACGAAAGAAAAATTTAACTACTCCTAGTCATCTAGAACGTACACATTTGAAGCAATCCCTTGCAACAATGGTGCTTTGATGCCTTGAAGTAGTCTCCTGAAGTTCCTGAGATGTTTTCATTTCTTTCCTCTATCTGGAACTTCTCTCTCTTTCTGTCTGTCTCGAACTTAAAAGCCAATTCTAATTTAATTAATTCGCTTAGTGCACAACTATCATGCGCTGAGCGAATAGTCATCTTTTTAGCTGAGCGATTTAATGTCGGCTTAGCGAGAAACATCTGACAACACTCCACTTTGATGTATAAATTCCTGTACAATTTACTACACACTTTCCTACTTTCTATTACAACTTTTTCTATGAGGAAACACATTATTTCATGAATAAATACAAATTTTGAGCTAATTAATAAGTCTGAAAACATGTATTTTTCATACTTATCAGGTTTGTGGTTCAAAGTTAAGGGTTTAAGGTTGTGGGTTTAAGGTTGTGGGTTAAAGGTTTAGGGTGTAGGGTGTAGGGTGTAGGGTTTACGATTTAGAATTTAGGATGTAGTGATTAGGGTTTAAGGTATAGGATGTAGTGTGTAGGATTTAGGGTGTAGGGTTTATGATTTTGGGTTTGGGTTTTTCGGTTTGGGTTTAATGGTATTTGGTTTAAGGGCATGGTTTAGGGTTTATGGTTCTGAGTTAATGGTTTAAGGTTGAGGGTTAAAGGTTTAGGGTGTAGGATGTAAGGTTTATGGTTTAGGATTTAAGGTTTAGGGTGTATGATTTAGGGATTAGAGTTTAGGGTTTAGACTTTAGGGTTCAGGAGTTAGGGTTTATGGGTTAAGGTTTATGGTGTAGGGCTTAGGATTTAGGGTGTAAGGTTTAGGGTTTACGGTTCAGGGTGCATGGTTGAAGGTTAAGGGTTTAGGGTGGAAGGTTAAGGGTTTAAGGGTTAAGGTTTAAGGTTGATGGTTAAATTTTTAAGGTGTATGGTTTAGGGTTTAGAATTTATGGTGTATGGTTTAAGGTTTAGAGATTAGGGATTAATGTTTAGGGTTTAGGTTTTATGGTGTAGGGTTTAGGGTTTTGAATTAAGGGTTGAGGGTTGAGGATTTTTGGATGTTTAGGGTTTAGTGTGTAGAGTTTAGCATTTAGGGTGTACGATTTAGGTTTTAGGGTTTATAGGTTAGAGTTTATGGTGGAGTGTGTTCGATGTAGGTTTAGGGTTTATTGTTTATGGTTTATTGTTTAGGGTGAAGGGTTTAGGGTTAAGGATGTAAGGTTTAAGGTACAAGGTTTGTGGTTCAAAGTTAAGTGTTTAAGGTTGTGGGTTAAAGGTTTAGGGTGTAGGGTTTTGGGTATAGGGTTTAAGGTTTAGGGTTTAGGATGTAGTTATTAGGGTTTAAGGTGTAGGGTGTAGTGTGTAGGCTTTAAGGTGTATGGTTTAGGATTTTTGGTTTAGGGTTTAGGTTTTTCGGTTTGGGTTTAATGGTGTTTGGTTTAAGGGCATTGGTTAGGGTTTTGGGTTTATGGTTTTGGGTTAAGGGTTTAAGGTTGAGGGTTAAGGGTTTATGATGTAGGGTGTAGGATTTAGGGTGTAGGGTTTAAGGTGTAGGATTTAGGGTTTAGGATTTATGGCTTAGGGTTTATCGTGTAGGGCTTAGGGTTTGAGGTTTAGGTTTTATGGTTCAGGGTTAAGGGTTTAAGGTTGAGGGTTTGAGTTTGATGGTTTAGTGTTTAAGGTGTAGGGTTTATGGTTTAGGGAATAAGGTTTAGGTTTTAGGGTTTAAGATTTATAGTATAGGTTTTAGGGTTTAGGCTTTAGGCTTTAAGGTTTAGGGTTTAGGGCTTAGGGTTTATGGGTTAAGGTTTATGGTGTAGGGCTAAGGGTTTAGGATGTAGTGGTTAAGGTTTAAGGTGTAGGGTGTAGTGTGTAGGCTTTATGGTGTAGGGTTTAGGATTTTGGGTTTGGGGTTTAGGTTTTTTGGTTTGGGTTTAATGGTGTTTGGTTTAAGGGCATGGTTTAGGGTTTATAGTTTATGGTTCGGGGTTAAGGGTTTAAGGTTGAGGGGTAACAGATTAGGGTATAGGGTGTATTGTTTAGGGTGTAGGGTTTAGGATTTTTAGTTTAGGGTTTAGGGTTTTGGGTTAGGCTTTAGGGTGTAGGGCTTGTGGGGTAGGGTTTATGGTGTAGGGCTTGGGGTTTTGGGTTTGAGGTTGAGGTTTTAGGATTCAGGCTCTAGGGTTCATGGTGTAC